AAGAAAATCTGGCTTTAACTCAGCATAAGTATTTTGGAATTCATCCATGTTGTATGTATTAAAAGTTAATTTTTTGTTGATAAATAGTAGTCTGTTGTGTGGATACCATGATTTATTAATACATTTGCCTGTTAAGGGACAGTTGGGTTGGGTTACTACAGACAAAATTACTATAAGGTTTTTTGTATTAACTCATCAAGTATTACTTGATTAAAGAGAAGATAAATTTTGAAGAGGCAAGGGGATGAAATAACTACTAAGGACCAAAAAGTCTTGCTGTTTTGCCTGAGCTCTAGAGAGGGGGCATTTGGAAACAAGACAAGCAAAATACCCAAATAATTTTAATTTAACCTAGTAGCATAGGCAGCATATACATTCTCTCCCCTCCAAGCTGATAATACAACTTAGGTGTAATCTCCTAGAATTTTTTCCAGACCTCACAGTTCTGGGTATCCTCTCTTTACTGCTGTTTATGTATTGATGAGTCTTCCTTATCTTTTGAATCCAGTAGGTTACAGGTCTTGGTCATATGACTGACCTTTGAGAGGCATGGAAGGAAACCAGCTGTTGACTGGATGAGTAAATTAAATTCAACCTGTGTTTAATAACCTGTGAATGATTGCAGGGAGACCTTAACACTTGGGAAGTTGGTACTTAAATGCCATGCTTGTTTACATGTTGGACACCTCAGCTAGACTGAAAGCTCTTGAGAATGCATGTTCTATGTCATTTATTTTTGTATCCCTGTTGTTTGGCATATAATAATTTTTCTTATTTGTTTGCTTAATAAATTAATGCAATTAAAAATAACATTGACATGTGATTAGGAAATTTATGTGTACACAGGTCTTAATTTTGAATGTTCTGTATGTTATAGTCAATCTGTAAAGTAGTTAGGAATTTAGAGCACACTTTGCTGTAGAAACAATTTAAAGTGTTAGACAATTCTATTTATTGTAGGTGGAATGAAGGCTAAAAGGAGGTTAAGGGAACCAGCAGTTTACAGGTCTTTGGTTACCAGATGACCTTTGAAAAGAGGCATAGAAACCAGATACTGGCTGAAAAATTAAATTCAACAAGTATTTATTGGTTTGTGAATATACAGGAAAGAGAATTTTAAAATTTCCCCTGAAGATTAAAAACCTTCAGGGGAATTTTCAGTAATAGAGAATCAAAATGTGGTAAATGCTACAACAAGAATGTCATCAAAGCCCTGGGGTAGTGCATACTACCTCAGTGAGGGAGCTTTAGGGAGATTTAGGAAGACTTCCCTGGGGAGGTGGAATTTGACTTGAACCTTGGAGATCTTTTGATTGCTAGAGGAGAGAATCTGTGATCACAGAAGGGTCAGCCCTATTACTCTGGCTGCAACAATATTTCTTTTCAGTTGTCACAGCTTGGGAACTAGAGAAAGGAAAAGAGATTCACATGTTCTTTGGCCTAGAGTCACCCATTTATCCCTGTGTATAACTGTATAGTCCCAAGTCAAATACATGTAAATAATGGACACTTAAAGTTGGTATGTTACAAGTTTTCATTCCAAGTGTCAGTTGTAAGTTTTACAGGTTTAACAACTGATTAATTTGTTAATCAACATTTTTTGAGGGCCTAATCTGTACAAGACACTTTTAGAAACTATCCATACAATAATGAATAGGGCTAAGGTTCTTGCTTAAACACTTTAGAGTCAAGTAATTCTATTTGTAATTGATCAGAACAATAAAGCAACATTTCTCTGGTTGACCTGACTCCCATTATCCCTTTGGCTGCCAATACTAACCCTTTCTTTCTAAAACCCATGGGGTGGGGAGTGACATGCCTGGCCCTCCTCCTCATCTCTGTTTCCAGAGAGATCAGTGTTGTAAGTGCATGTGGAAAGTGGGGTCATCTTCAACTTCCTCCTTTTTCAAGGGACAATCACTCTGTGCTTTTCTTATGCCCACTTACCCTCCCAAAACAGAAATTAGACATGGGGATTGGGAAGACATGGGAATTGGTACTAGGGAGAAAGGACCTCCCATCCACTGGACTTAGGAGGAAGAACATTTGGAGTTCTTTCCTGTCTCCAAACTTTTCATTTCTTCTCAAAAGGAAAAAAAAAAGCCTATCCTTTCTTCTACTCTCCATCAGTGAATCCTTGTTGATGTTGGCAACTTTAGGAATATATGGCGATTTTCATGGATAAGGACCCCACCCCATGATACTCTGGATATTAACAAAAGTAATTTTTATGCAAAATAATATTATTCTTTAGAAGTCATTCTATTTTAAATTCAATTAATGTAGATTTTTAAAAATTGGATTTGGTGATTCATGGCATATTATTGGAGGGATTACCACCCAGTTTTGACTATTAGAGAGTCATCTCATAGCCAGGGCCTTGGACCTAGCAGTTAAGTTTCTGAGCTGCCAGTCACATAAGGTGGAGGGGTACCCTGCTGGAAGTAGTGAGGATGCAAAAAGTGAGTATTTTATGCCTAGTTCTTTTTGACAGAGAATCTGAACTGTAAATATTCCTCCTCAAAAGAGTGGATGATTGAGAGTTAACTAGAGCTATTTCCTGCTTGAGGTAGAATCACAATATACGTACTATTTATATTTGTGTCTTGAACAGCAAAACAAAAGCAAGAGGCTGGCAGAGGAACTGGAAGAAAGGCAATAGATCTGAAGCTGATCTTTGTTTTAAATAGGCTGAATATTCTACACCCATGACTCATTCTTTGTGAAAGAATATGCTGTTTGGCCTTTTCAGGGGAACTACAGTGCATCCTATGATTTAGCATCTCAATGAGGGCTTATTCATTAGTTGAACAAAGGCTTTTTCTAGAAATGAGGATTATATTGTTAGTAATTTTAGAGGGAAAATGTCATTGTCCATTTTTATAGTTAATGTGGTGACCAAGGAAAACAGTGTCTTTTAGAAGTTTTGAAAGTATATGGGAAAAATTGTATGCTTGACCCTTTCTATTGGGAGAGTTTTGTGCTGACAGAATTTGAAGCATATATAAATACTGTTTTGTTGCTTTGGAAATATTTGGAAATTTTTTTTACCCTAAGTTTCAAGCTTTCAAAAGGAATTTATATTTTTAATTCATGATATTTGAAATTCAATTTATGAAGAAATAAAACACTAATTCTTTTAAAATTCTAATGTTTTAAGTAACAGTGTACTAAATAAATGTTTTATTTTTTTGTTCCCCTATACATTAATAACCAATGGTAAGTGAGTTTTAGTGTTTTGACAAAAGATTTTAAAGGTCACAGAACAATTGTAATTTTTTCCCCATTGATTATTAAGATCATTTTGCATAGTTTCAGCTTGCATGGTCAGTTTTATGACTGGCAGTTACTGGTGTGGCAAAGTAAGAACTGCCTGGTGTTAACTAGGTGAATGAAATTGAGAATAGACTGGAAATTCAGTTGCTAGCTGGCATTAAGGAACTGCTTGAGGTTATAGATTATGACTTTTAAATGAGACTGGTCATAATTACTAGTTTTTCTTTAGCCTCATTCAGCTTCAGGAGGAGCTTCTCTCCTCCATAGTTACACTTCTGAAGTAAGAAAGACACCACTGCATTCACCATCAACTCCCTTCAAGGGTGTTGGGGTGGAGCACAAGGGAGTTGATGGTGAATGCAGTGGTGTAATTATAATAATAATTGACTATGGGATTTATTTATTTATTTATTTATTTATTTTTTTTTTTTGAGACGGAGTCTCGCTCTGTCGCCCAGGCTGGAGTGCAATGGCGCAATCTTGGCTCACTGCAAGCTCCGCCTCCCGGGTTCACGCCATTCTCCGGCCTCAGCCTCCCGAGTAGCTGGGACTACAGGTGCCCGCCACTGCGCCCGGCTAATTTTTTTCTATTTTTAGTAGAGACGGGGTTTCACCATGGTCTCGATCTCTTGACCTTGTGATCCGCCCGCCTCGGCCTTCCAAAGTGCTGGGATTACAGGCGTGAGCCACCGCGCCCGGCCTTGACTATGGGATTTAAACTAAATAAGGAAGAAAAAGAATATCTTGTGATAGACAAGAAGGTGGTAGCATTGAATTAAAGGGTCTTACTGATGTTAAAGGGTTGTTGGAGCCTAGAGGGAATGTGCTGAAAAGATAAGTGGTGGAAAGAAAGTAGAATACTGGAAGTTGAGATTATGAAGCATTTTCAGTTACCAATAATGACAAGTTCAGAAGTGTAACTACGGAAATGAGAAGCTGAGGTAGGAAAAAAATCATTGGAGAAAAGAACTGAGTGTATTGGAAAGATCATCGTCATGAATGATGAATGATGATGAGTGAATGATGAATGATGTCATCAGTCACGATGATGGGGTGGTGTCAGAGAGACTGACAGTGGGTCAGGATCTAAAAATAAGGAAATAAGGGCAGTAGTGACTTGGGTGACAACAAATGCCTGTAATAAGTTGAGGTAGTCAGTGATATAGTCTCATGACTGTAAAAATTGAGCTACTGTGAGAATAGTCTTAATGGTCCTAAGGGAGAAAGTGGTAGAAAGTCGTGTTTTGTGAAATGAGGGGTGGGGGAGTATCTTCCCAAGAATAGGAAGAGTTTTGGGGTTCTCCTTTATTTTTGCTAGTGTCCTCCTGATGGAGGTCAGGAATGCTGCAGAAGGATTCTCTTGACCCCTGCCAGATGATGAACCAGAAACATAGATATTCTCTTGATGACAGCCAAATTCAGTATATTGATGATAGGGTCAGAATAATGAGTGATTACTGTCCTTTTTTAGAAATCACAAATCATCTGTATGACAAAAAGCTCAAGACCAGTGGTTTTTATTGAGGGAGAACCTAGGAACCTGCTAGGTTTTAACATTAAAATGCCTAGCATAATGCCTTTTCCATAGGTACTCAATAAACATTTACGGTTTTCATTAGTTAAGACAGTTAAATTTTTATTTATAAGATTTATAAATAAAAATTATTTATAATTGGTTATACCTAAATATGTGACAGTAACGATATTTCTTTTTTGTATTTTAGACTATCCCCATAAATACGGTCCTCAGGGGGGCTGTGCAGATCATTCAGTATTTGAAAGAATGAGGAAATACCAGATGACTGGTGTAGAGGAAGTAACACAGGTAAGGATTTTAACATTAGCTTGCATTTAGGAAATGGAAATGAACTTGAGGATGTATATCTACATTTAAAAATGTATGTTCTAGAATTTCTGAAAGATTTATACCACTATGGGGAGTGGTTTTTAATGCTCAAAGAGGCCAGGTAACAGGCCAGTAACAAAAAGATGGGGCTGAGGTTTGAATACAAATATATGTGACCCAAGAAAAAGTACACGTCTAAAATATACTATCCTTTACATATTTTGTTATAAAAGAAAACAAATGTTTTATATAAATGTAAATATTTATATTAGTATTAAAATTAGAGTGACCACTTGCCTTGGTTTGCCAAGGTATTCCTCATTTTCAACACTGAACGTTGTGTGTTGACAGACAATCTGATTAGTCATGTTAATAAAAATCTCAGGGCTTTTCATATTTTAATTCTTCTTTTTTTCCCCTCCTTTTTCTTTGGTCATAGGTGACAGGTTATAGTTATTCAAAACATAAGTTCAAAATGAGAAAACATTTTTTCTTTTATGATAAAACATTTATTGTATATTTTGGACATCCTTTCTAAAAGTAGTATGGTAGAGTAATGTTTCCTGAGCCATGAATATTTGTATTCAGATCTATTCCTTGATCAGTAAAATGGCATAAACAGTTCTGTTTCAGGTGGGTCTTTCTAGTATTAAGTGAGATTTTATTTTTACATATATTGAAGAGATACATATTGATCTTCTGCCATATGTCAGAGACTGTGGAAAGTTCTGGGAATATGTGGAGATTACGATGAAGGCTTATTCTCAAAAGTTTATCGTTTAATTGGAGACACAGAGAAACAATTTAGAGTTGTGGGAGATAGAAGAGGATTAAGTATAGGATGATATTCTACACATAAGAGGAATAGCTGATCTAGCCTGATAAGTATTTGAAGGCAATAATCAGACCTTAAGAATAAGTAGGAGTTAGGTTGGCCACGAGGATATGGAAAGACTATTCCAAGCAGGAGGAACAGTACGTATGAAGGCCAAGGAGACAGAAAGATCAGTAAAGAATTTTTAACATGGGGGTAGAGTTTAAGACTAGAGTTTAGGAGACTAATGAGAAGTTGTTGTAGTTATTCAGTTGAGAAGTGATAGGGGCTTGTACTGATGTATTGGCAATGTGGGTAGAGGGGATGAGATTACAGACTGTTAGATATGATAGAATTTAGCAGGGTGGCTTGATAAAATATTAAGATACAACAGTAGGTTGCATTTATTTATACCACGAGTAGATTACCAGAAATATAATGAAAGAGTGGATATTGTTAATAGTATCAGAGAATATTGTGTATTATAGAATAAATGTAACAAAGAATTATAAGACCTATATAAGGAAAATAAAAACTTTATAAAAATATTAAGGAAGATTGATTTTAAATGAATGGAGAGATATACCATATTTGGGAAATAATATTTAATATTATAAAAATGTCAGTTCTCCCTGTATTGATTTGTAGATTCAATGGTAGTCCAATACACATTACAACAGGCTATTCACAACACTCAATGGGTCAAAAATGTTACATGGAAAAGTAAGGACTAAGAAGAAGTAGGGCCCATTTAAAGATGATGAACAGGAAAGAGGGAAAGAGGATTTACCCTAGGAGGTATTAAGACTTGTAATAATAATTGAGAGTGTGATAGCACAGGGATGGACAGATTAACTAGTGGAATAAAAATGAGTGCTTAGAAAAAGACCCATGCATGTATGAAACTTTGTTATGTGGTAGAGATGCAATCCCAAATTAGTAAGGAAAGTAGTGGGTACCATTGAATAAATGGATCCAGAAAAAAATGTTTATTTGAAAAAAAGTCGAAGTTGGATCACGATCCTACACCATATTTACAACAAAAAAGTCCAGATGGATTGAAGTATTAAATGTCTAAAATGAAAACTTTGAAACTTGTGGATTTTGCTTTCAAGCTGTGATAGAGTAACTGATATCTAACTAGGCTTTCTACAATAAACAACTAGAAAACCAGACAAAGTATTTCTTTCTTTCTTTTTTTTTTTTTCTGAGACGGAGTCTCGCTTTGTTGCCCAGGCTGGAGTGCAGTGGCGCGATCTCAGCTCACTGCAAGCGCCGCCTCCCGGGTTCGCGCCCCCTCCCGAATTCACGCCATTCTCCTGCCTCAGCCTCCGAGTAGCTGGGACTACAGGCGCGCACCACCACGCCCGGCTAATTTTTTTGTATTTTTAGTAGAGACAGAGTTTCACCGTGTTAGCCAGGATGATCTCGATCTCCTGACCTCATGATCCACCCACCTCGGCCTCCCAAAGTGCTGGGATTACAGGCGTGAGCCACAGCGCCCGGTGTCAAACAAAATATTTCAAACAATTATTTTCAAACATTAGAAAACAAGCATTGCAGGATTGAGATCTCAGAGTGAGGAAATAAATATCTCTGTGATTTCCCTGACTTTTTGAGTGGAGTCGAAATTTCAGATATGACACACAGAAGGAGATCTCAAGAAGAGTAAGTACACAACAATGTTGCTAAGTTGAAGAGTTAGAAGTCAGAATTCAGGAAGACTGAGGTGTCTGGACTTACAGGCACAATACCTGAGAGGAGAGAGCTTTGCTGAGAAAAAGCTCCAGATATCTGCATAGGTGTTGCCTTCCTTGAGTCTTAACTGAATACTAAGCTGTGCCTGCCTGCATAGGATGAAATTCTTTGAGAAAACTATGAGACAAAGAAGAACTACTGGGACTCTGTGAAATGAACAACTATCAAAAACAGTACTTGGGCCGGGTGTGGGTGGTTCATGCCTGTAATCCCAGCATTTTAGAAGGCTGAGGCAGGAGGATCACTTGAGGCCAGAAGTGCGAGACCAGCCTGGGCAACCTAGCCAGATCTCATCTCCATAATTTTTTTTTTTTTTTTCTAATTAGCTGAGTGTGGTGGTGAGCACCTATAGTCTCAGCTACTCTGGAGGCTGAGACAAGAGGATTTCTTGAGCCCAGGAGGTTGAGGCTGCTGTGATCCATAATTGTGCCATGGCACCCCAGTCCGGGCAGCAGTGCGAGACCCTATCTCTCAAAAAATTACACTTAGTAGATACCTCAAGCCATGGTAGCAGGGCTAACCTAGCCCTAGAGTAGAAGCTACTTCAGACCTGCCCTTCCTAAGCAGAAAAACAAGCCTCAAAAATGTCAAACTGCTTTTCAAATAAATTAGCTGTCTGTCAGAGAAAAGCTCAATAATATTTCTTTAAGGAGGACATTAAGTCCAGATACTCAACAATATAACAGTGTTCAACATTCAAAGAACATTACTAGATGACAAGAAACTGAAAAATATGATTCATAATAATAAGAAAAGCCACCTAAATAGAAACACAACCAGTAATTACAGACATTAACAGGCAAGGACTTTAAAATAACTATTATTAGTATGTTCAAAGAATTAAAGACATGAACACAAAAAGGAGAGAATGGAAATTCTAATAAAAAACCAAAGGAACTTCTAGGGTGAAAAGTATGTTATCTGAAGTAAAAAATTTATTGGATAGGCTTAAAAGAAAATTAATTACTGCGGAACTCAATATGAGTATACTTGAATAAAGGAAAATGAAACAGTAGACAGTATCCATATCTAAGCACAGAAGAAAATAATAGACGTCCGGGGGAAGAGATGCAGAAAAAAAATTAAAAAAATAATGCCTCCAAATTTTTCAGATATGAAGAAAAATTTCAATTCATGGTCCAAGAAACTCAATGAAACACATGCAGGATAAACACAAAGAAAACCATACCAGGGTATATTGCAATTAAATTATTGGAAACACCTGAAAATCATAAAAAACCATAAAAGCAGCCAGAGAAAAGGAGATAAATTTATATACAGGGGAACAAAGAGAAGTATAACTGGTGACTGCTCATCACACAGTGCAAACTGGAAGACACAGAATAACATCTTCAAAGTGTTGAAAGAAAATCTGCCGAACTAGGATTCTATATTCAGTGAAAATAATTTTCAAAAACAAGGGCAAATTAAATATCTTTTTAAATAAAAATTGAGAGAATTTGTGTCTAAGTGACCTACACTGTAAGAAACATTAAAGGAAGTTCTTCAGGTAGAAAAAGATACCAGATGGAAACTCAGATATACACAGAGGAGTGAAGAACATAAAATAGTAACTATATCGATAAATATTAAGCAGTTTTTTTTCTCATTTAAAAAAATCTTCAATAGATTATTACCTAAGTCAAAATAGTAAGGTATAATGGATTTTGTAATATACAGAGAATCAAAATTTATGACAGTAGCACAAAGGACAAGAGAAAGAAGAATGGAAGTATGTTTCTTAAACAATTTGTGAAGTGGTGTAATTTTGGCAGGTAAACTGTGCCGTGATAAAGATGGATATTGTAAACCCTAGAGCTGGGGTCAGCAAACTACTGCCTGTGGGCCAACTGTTTGCTTTTGTAAGTAAAGTTTTATTAGAACACAGCTACACCTATTCATTGATAGGTTGTCTATGGCTGCTTTTACATTATAGTGGCAGAGTTGAGTAGTTGTGATAGAGAACAACTACATGTTGCTTAAAAGTCTAAATGTTTACTATTAGGCCTTTTAAGAAAAAGTTTGCAGGAATTTCCTCTGCCCTGGAGCAACCATTGAGAAAAGAAAAGGAAATAATTTAACAGGTTAATAAAATAAATCAAATGTAATTAAAAACAGTTAAGAGAAGTTAGGAAAAAGAGAAAAAGGAACAAAAAACAGATGGAACAAATAGAAAATAAATAGCAAGATGGTAAGTTTAAATCTAATCATATGAATGACTGTATTAAATATAAATGGACTGCTGAGGTGTGACGATTGCTTGAGGCCAAAAGTTCAAGACTAACCTGGCCAACGTAGTGAGACCCTGTCTCTGTTTCTTTTAACTAAAAAAATACAAATGGACTAAGCACATTAAGAAACTGAGATGGTTAGAGTGATTAAAAAAAAAAGCCAGACCAAATTAGTC